CCAAAACCCCAAAACCCCATGTTCAGGAAAATGAAGGTTAAATTTGAATTAAATAAACACTCAAATAAACATAAGTATTTTAATGGAGTCATCCAATACAATGTTTGTCAATAATCACAGTAAGCATTTCCTTCCAATTCATAGTTGTAGATAATTCTAATCAGAATTCTAGAAGATTAACTTATTCAAATTCTTAATCATCGTTATTTAACAATGGATTTTCCAATTTACAAGGACAGTATTTGCAAAACACTTAGCATAAGCTAAGTACCGGATAAAATACATACAGGGACTTGTCATAAGATAAATAACCTGAATAAATCAATCCCTTTGCAGTGGAGCCCTCTAGAGAAAACTTTGAGAATGAATTTGCCGAGGGAGTTGAGCAAGCTAATCCCAGCAGCAAGGAGGAAGTCTATATAAAAGTGTCTGCAAGAGTGAGGCCATTGCTGAATGCAGAGCAAGATCATGACTCTGTGATTAATGTTATCAAGGATAAAAAGTGTCTAAAAGTATTCACTAACCATTACTTCAATAATGGAGAGAGAAACTTCTACTTTGAAAATGTCATCGACAGTGACTCTAATTAAGGAGAAGTTTTCGATGATATGGAAATTAAAGATATGTGTGAGGCATTTATAAAGTAAGGTAAAAATTGCAATATCCTAGTCTATGGGCCAACCAGCACAGGAAAAACATTTACAATGCAAGGTGATCTGCAAAATCATATTAAATCTAGTATTATCAAAAGTATGTTTGACACTGTCACTAACAATATTTGCTAAAATGAAGACTTAATTGGCAAAGATCAGAGTGGAGTCTCTACTTCAAAGCACAAGAAAACACTGTCTAATATTAATGGATATATAAACAAGAATCCTAATCTAAAGAAATCTTTTATTCTTGATGAATCAAATTTGTAGTAAAAAATTCTGCAAAATTAAATCCCTCCTGGAAGAAACAGGCACAGACAATCACCATTGCTCTAGAAAACTGTCTCATACTAATTTACATCCAAAGAGTCTTAGTAGTTAAATACTGTTTTGTCTCATGTGAATAGAGGTCTAATACCTAGGACTTTGGACTGCATTTACTCTATCCCTATCTAAAAAGATAAATTTGAATTCAAGGTATCTTTTATGGAAATTTATAATGATATTGTTACTGACTTGCTAGATAGTGACAGCTCTTAACTTGGCTAAGCTTAAGATTTCAATTATAAAGGTGGTAAAATGACCTCTAGATAGCAGTCAACTTAGTAATAAAGACCAAATAAGCAATACTAGATAAAAGAAAATATATATAAAGGAGTCTATGTAGAAAATCTAACGGAGCATAGAGCAAACACTCTGGAAGAAGCTTATATATTTTTGCTCTATGGCTTATAAAGGAAGAAGATATTTGCTACAGTCAAGAATTAGGAATCTTCAAGAAGTCATACCATATTCTAAATTAAATTGAGCACCAAGCCCTAACCATAAAATTTCAAGTAGACTAATAGATCAATGACCTAGCAGAATTAACCACAATCAACAATTGTCTCTAAATTTACTCTAATCGATCTTGCTGGAAGTGAGAGATTAAATGAGGGTGAAAAAACTATGGAAAGAGTCGAAGAGGCTAAGTTTATAAATAAAAGCCTCTCTGCTCTAGGAAATGTGATATATGCCTTAAAGAATCAGTAAAATGTATATGATAAACACCAGCATAAAAGAGCATCAACAATAGCAGCTTAGAGCAGCAATATAAAAAATAAATTCAGTCAGACAGCCCCTTAAAACCTTGGTCACATTCCTTATAGAGATTCGAAACTAACTCATATTCTAAAAGACAGCTTGGGCGGAAACTCTCATACTCATATTATCATTACTCTCAGTCCATCAGCCATGAGTTTGAACGAGACACTCTCATCCATGAAGTTCGCTCACAATGCAAAGTCAATTAAATAGCATGTTAAAGAGAATGTAAGATATTTTTATTATCTCTAAATATAACTAGATATTTTTCAGAGAAATTGATGAAAAATAAGTGAATTCATTTGAATGCTAATGTCAAAAAGATCATCAATGCAAAGAATTAAATGATTCTTTTGATAGCGAGGAACTTATCGAGCTATCAAGGTATTATGAGAACCAAGAGAATCAAAACTTCATTAAGAATGAGCTTGAAAATTAGAGGAAAAAGGTTAGCAAACTTCCGAAATCATCAAAAATGCTGAGACAGCTATTCAGAAAAACTTTAGACAAACTTAAAAAGTACAAAAATGATTAGTAAACAATGTAAGTCAAGATTATGGATCTACAACATGCTCTTGAGCTAAAAGAAATACTAGCAATGAAATCCTACGAAGAGCTTATAAGTAAATATCAGGACCAAATAGTAGATGGAAATAGTTCTCCAGTTGCTGGAAGTAAAGAGAAATCTGAAAGATTAAGCATGAATCTCGTGAAATCTGGTTGGGGCATGAAAAATGAATTTGCGAGGTATAACAGCAGGTCATTAAAAAGTTTGATGCAATAAGATTAGTCAAGACCTACTATCCAAGAAACAACTGAGCTTCTTAGCTTAAGCTAAAACAATGGAGCAGGTGGATCTAGTGTTGCTATTGATGATATTTCCAGATTTACATCTTCAATGAAGGATGAAACATAGAACTTTATTCAGTAAAATCAGTTAAACATGATGCAAATTCTGAAAAAGAGGGAGGAATTTCTACATAGTGAAAGTCACCTTAATAGCAATAGTGTTGGAATTAAATACCAAATTGAGTTTAATAAGTTTAACCTTGATTAAGATTGCCTAAACAATATTTAAGGTAGAACAAGAAAGAATGAATTAGATTCAGTAAAAGCCTCGATTGATCATACTGACTTACAAAAGTAATGCAATGAAGAACTAGCCACTATAAGCTAGAACAACAAGTCTAAAATAGAGGAACCCTTAATTTATAAAACAATGCATCATTGTATTGAGAGTTCATCCTAATACTATTGCAATGTTTATAGCCAGCATTCAGGCTATTTTACACCCAAATAGCAAAGTTTCATTATAAACCCCTAAGTTAAAAATACAAATTAATTTGAATTAATTCTTGGAAGTGGGGGTAGACATTTTAAATAACAACAACAGCCATACCAATTTCTTGGTGAAAGTTCTAAAAAGCAAATTCAGAGTGCGAGGGCAAGCTAAAACTATAGTAAAAGAATTGCAGTCACTCAGCATTAATAAAATAATACACTTATAAATTCACCCTTTAGCAATTAAAGATTATCTAACTGTTTTGATAACCATAATTGTGATGAATTTACTTATAATGATTGTTCTCACTAAAGATAGTTTACAGAGTCAAACGCTTAGTAGATATCTTTCAAGTAATTTTGGAGAAATCTAAATAAACTAAACAAAGAGGACAAGCTTTTTGCAGATAGAACAAATAAAAATAATATTATATTGACACCTTCTGTGATTCAAAGTGAGAGATCATCTTAGAACAAACATTTCAATTTCTTAGATTCAGCATCTAACCTACTCTCAGCTAGAGAGAAAAAATAGCAGATCGATAAATGCTACTCCTCGAATCAAAGTATCAAGAGAGGTGATGAGGAAAAGGCTAGGAAGATGTTTTATCCAGTTCTTACAAAGAATGGCAATCTTGGCTACGTTTCAAATACAGATTCTGCTGCTATTTATGATATGATTGATGAGGTCTCATTTGAAACTAATCATGATGGAAGTGGAAGTGCTCTTGGCCCTCATATGATTCAAGATTCAGGCCAGAATTCAATGTAGTATAGCTTGGGAGCTATTTCATTCGGGGTTAGGCCCTAGAAAAAAGATAAAAGATTAGACAAATCTAAAGAAAACAATAGTCATTTCTCAAAAACTTACGACGCTTAACCAAATACAACCAGAGCAATAGTTAAAAGAATGACTTCAAAAGTAGGTTAAGACTCAACTATTGATAGAACTAGTAAAACAAGGTCTAGCATTCCATTTGAAAAGTCGAGTGAGTACAATCATGTAGCCTCAACTAAGGCAAGTTTCAACAGCAAGGTAGGAACTGATGTCCGCACTCAAATATTGAGCTAAGCTTTAGCTCTAGTTTAAAAGAGAAATAAAAGCTAAAATCTTAATGCTGGTAGTGGTAAAATAAAGAGCAAGACTCACAATTACTAGGGAAGCATTATTGAACAGCCTCAGCAACCCCAATAGACTTATCATTAGCAGTCAGTGAATAGGCAGGGATTGACTTAAAATTCAAGGAATATTAGTAAACAGACTTAAAAAGTAGTGGCCGGGATGAGCAATGGGTTTGGATGCTTTTTCAGCTACAAAAAAAATAACCTGAAGTGAGATTCCTTACAATGAAAAGAAGCATAAAATAAATAAGAATTTAGCAATAAATCACATAAATAATTTTAAAATTTGACCCTTCAATATATTATCAATTAGAATGCTGAATGGGGTTTTGGGGTTTTGGGGTTTTGGGGTTTTGGGGTTTTGTGTTTGGGGG